CCGCTGAGCAGGGAGCCCGATGTGGGGCTCGATCCCAGGACCCTGGGATCATGACCTGAGCCGAAGGCAGCCGCTTAACCGACTGAGCCACCCAGGGGCCCCTGTTTGTCTAGTTCTGAGTGAGGTGGGGCACTTTGTCTATGGTGAAGGGCCGTTTTTATCCCTTTCTTGTGAAGCGTCTGCTTATTTCTTTTTCCCATTTTTCTGTGCAGTTTTGTTCCTCAGTTTTTAAGAATTCTTTACAGATTAGGGTCACTGACCTTTTGTCAGCGATATACACTGCAGGTCTTTCTCTCTGTGTGACAGTGTTTTGACTTGATGTAAAGAGCTCGTTGCTGTTCAGTGTGTTTTTCCTGTAGCCACATTAGTTAGGTTCTTGCTGGCGTTGCCAGTCCTGGATTTTGAGTCACAGAAAGCTTTTCTGTTCATGAAAGTACAAGGAATTCACCCACGTTTTCTTCTAATATGTGTCTGCTTTCTTTTATATCCTTGAGTTTCTCTGATCCGTTTGGAGTTTATTCTTGTGTACAGTGTGAAACAGGGATCTAACTGTATCTTTGCCACATGGCCACCCGTCTATGAGCCCCTTTATAAAACGCCCATCTTTGCCCCAGTGATTTGAGGTGCCGTCATTCGAGACTCTGGGTCCAGGGTAGTCCCTGGGGATGGATGGTCACGTGCTCATTCTCTGCCAGCCAGGGCCTCCAGAGTTCCAGAATCATGGAAGGAAAGAGATGTTCCCTGCTCATCGTGCCACACGTGAGCAGTCTGGGCAGGCTGGCCCTGTGGTCTCTCAGTGCAGGGAGCGTGGCAAAGCAGGTCCCCGGGTGCCAGCCCAGGGCAGCCCTGCACGCAGCCCTCCCTGGCTCGGGTCCCCGTGAGGACGCACTCCTGCAGCTGTGGCACCTCGTTGTCCTCCTCTGACGTGCTCTACTCTGACACTGTGTTCTTTGTTTCAGTCTGAGCCCCAGCTACATCGATCTGACTGAGTGTCCTTACATGTGGCCCTACTGCTCCCAGCCTATCTACTATGGAGGGATGCCGACAATCGTCAACGTCACAATCCTCAACGGCATGGGCGTCACAGGAAGGATTGTAGACAAGGTGATGCTGCTCTCTGGCTTGTGGTGAACTTGGACGTGGCCCGGCCTTCGTGCCTTGTCTCTCTCCTAATGTTAAAGCAGGAGAGGTTTTCTCCTCCTGTCTCGGGTGCCAGGGTATTGGAAGCAGTGATTTATTTTCTCCTGAGTCCTTTACAGATAAGCTGAGGATAAATTAATGGAACCAGTTTGGTACTTTACTTTGGCATCTCAAATTTGGCTCCTGAATGGACTAATTATATTTGATTCTTCATTATGTAATTTTCACCTGTAATTAAATGCCCACCTAGAATTATTGTATTCTTGAGTGAGCACTAATGGGCCCTCCAGTCAAAAAGGTGTGTTCTTGATTTTAGTTTTGTTTTTATAATTTTTCTTTTACTTACTGCATAAGTATTATCGTGATAGTAAAGGTTGGGGAAAGAGAGCAGAAAAATCACTTCCAGCCCCAGCACACCAAGGTAACCACTGTTTTTAAAGTGTTCTTTTCCAGCCTTTATCTCAAGTATGTATTTTTGTTCTCTGTGTAGTAGGCCCGACTTTAGTCTTGTCTTTCTTGGCTCTTGTCATATTGTTAAATGTAACTCTACGCACAGTCTCAATGTACTTGCTAACAGCTATTCAATATCACATAGGATTGTTAAATCATAATTTATCTATTTTTTTTTAACCGAAAACGGTTTTATTTTATCTTTCAGGGAACAAACTTTTTCTTTTCAAGATAATCGTGATGAGCTTACAAAAATGGGCATTTACAGTGCAGCTTTATATAATCCAAACGTTAAAAACTTAAAAGAGATTTCTACTTTGTTGTCCTTATAAGACAAAACAGAAATCCATTCATACTCAGGCGCTTCTCCTCAGCATCGTTAGAGGATTTCCATTGAGCAAACGCTGATCTAATTGAATAATCCTTCCTTCTGGTGGTATTTGAAACAAAGCCGTCAGATCTCAGAAACTTGGCAACAGTTTCCTTCTCACTCTTCTTCACAGTGTGAATTCTTGATGTCACATCTGTCCGCACGCACGCAGGCAGCAGCTGTGACTGCTTACTGTTGCGTTAGCCACCGGGGCTACGCAGGAAGTGGCCCGCATCCTGGGCTTGGACAGCTGGGCTCTCCAGCTGTAAACGTTCACTGAGAGTCTTTGCATATGTGGTTTCCTTTTCTTCTGAATTATTTAACATGAACTCCCTGGATTGGAATCCCGAGTCAGAGAGCCTGGACATTATTGTGGCCCTTGGTACACGCTACCGAACCCTCCCTGAGAGTCGTGTCCGCGTACGCTGTGTGCCGGCAGTCCGGCCAGGCCATACAGAGGGGCGCTGGCTGCATTGCCTGCAGGGGCTGGGACAGCTCTTTTTTTTTTTTTAATTCCACGAGGTTGTTAAAAATCGAAATAAAAGGGCGCCTGGGTGGCTCAGTTGGTTAAGCGACTGCCTTCAGCTCAGGTCATGATCCTGGAGTCCTGGGATCGAGTCCCGCATCGGGCTCCCTGC